ATCCCATAAAATCCCTCGGGATATTCCCGAGTTCACCATCCCATAAAACCCCTCGGGATATTCCCGAGTTCACCATCCCATAAAACCCCTCGGGATATTCCCGAGTTCACCATCCCATAAAACCCCTTGGGATATTCCCAAATTCACCATCCCAATGCTCAAAACTCGGATTGTGGGAGGCCAAAATCCTGGGATTGCAGCACCAGCGTGTCTGGCGGCTTCTCCTCGTGCTCCTGCCTCTGCCATTCCCTGATTTCTGGATTTTCCCAGCTTTCCATGGCGTTCCCAGCCCGGAGCCTGACGATGTGCGAGGTGGTCGGGCAGGAATATCCCGAGTTTTCATCCTCAAAACTTGGGCTGTGAGTGGCCCAAATCCCTCAGGATTGGAGCTCCAGCTCCTCCCTCCACTGCCTCTCACTCTCCTCCCTCAGCCATTCCCTGACTTCCATCTTTTCCCTGTTTCCCTGCTGTTCCCAGCCCAGAGCCTGACCCTGTGCGAGGTGTTTGGGCAGGAACATCCCGAGTGCTCAGCCATTCCCTGACTCCCATCTTTTCCCTGTTTCCCTGCCGTTCCCAGCCCAGAGCCTGACCACGTGCGAGGTGTGCGGGCAGGAATATCCCGAGTTCATCCTTCTAAAGCTCCACAGGAGGGTTTGGGGTTGCCAAAATCCCCCAGGATTGGATCAGCAGCACATCCTCCCTCAGCCATTCCCTGACTTCCATCTTTTCCCTGTTTCCCTGCCATTCCCAGCCCAGAGCCTGACCCCTGTGAGGTGTGCGGGCAGGAATATCCCAAGTTCATCCTTCTAAAGCTCCACAGGAGGGTTTGGGGTTGCCAGAATCCCCCAGGATTGGATCAGCAGCACATCCTCCCTCAGCCATTCCCTGACTTCCATCTTTTCCCTGTTTTCCCTGCCGTTCCCAGCCCAGAGCCTGACCACGTGCGAGGTGTGTGGGCAGGAATATCCCGAGTTCATCCTTCTCATGCTCCACAGGAGGGTTTGGGGTTGCCCAAATCCCTCGGGATTGGATCACCAGCTCCTCCCTCCACTGCCTCTCACTCTCCTCCCTCAGCCATTCCCTGACTTCCATCTTTTCCCTGTTTTCCTGCCGTTCCCAGCCCAGAGCCTGACCCCTGTGAGGTGTGCAGGCAGGAACATCCCGAGTGCTCAGCCATTCCCTGACTTCCATCTTTTCCCTGTTTCCCTGCCGTTCCCAGCCCAGAGCCTGACCCTGTGCGAGGTGTTTGGGCAGGAACATCCCGAGTGCTCAGCCATTCCCTGACTTCCATCTTTTCCCTGTTTTCCTGCCGTTCCCAGCCCAGAGCCTGACCACGTGCGAGGTGTGCGGGCAGGAACATCCCGAGTGCTCAAAAGTTGGGTTGTGAGTGGCCCAGATCCCCCAGGATTGGATCACCAGCACATCCTCCCTCAGCCATTCCCTGACTTCCATCTTTTCCCTGTTTTTCCTGCCGTTCCCAGCCCAGAGCCTGACCACGTGCGAGGTGTGCGGCGCCTGCTTCGAGACGCGCAAGGGGCTGTCGAGCCACGCGCGCTCCCACCTGCGCCAGCTGGGCGTGGCCGAGTCGGAGAGCAGCGGGGCCCCCATCGACCTCCTCTACGAGCTCGTGCGCCACAAGGGCAAGGCCGACGGGGCCCCCTCCGCCCTCGTCCCGCCCCTGGCCAAGAAATCCTCCGGCTCCCCCAAGGAGCCCGGGGCCGCCCCCCGGCCGGCGCTGCTGGCGCTGGCCAAGGCCGAGCGCCCGCCCGAGGGGGCCGTCAACAAAGCCATCAAATCCCCGCCGGGCTTCGCCAAGGCCCTGGCCCAGCCCGGCTCCCCCGTGCTGAAGAAGGTGCCGCCGGCGCTGGGGGGGTCCCCGTCTCCCAAGAATCCCGAGGAGAAGAGCTCCAAGCTGGCGCTGAGCCCGCTGCCGGGGTCGCCCACGGCCCAGTGGCCGCAGGACGAGGACGGGCCCCTCAACTTGAGTGAGTTCCGCCGGTTTTCCTGGGCTTTCCCGCTTTTCCGAGGGGTGGGGGGGTGTCCCTGGCCTCTCCCCTCCTCTCCCTGCTTGGTTGTGACTGTCTCGGTCTTCCCTGTCGACGGGCATTCCCACTGGGATTTCGGGAAAGCCGCTGCCTCTCCGCCCTCCCAGCCCTTCCCGTCTCTTCCCTGGTTCTCCCGACTGCTCCGGGTGGGCTGGAGCGCCCTCGGCTGCTCCCGATCCCGATAAATCCGAATCCCGACACGGCGGGTTTGGCTGGCATCGCATTCCCACATTTCCCGCTCCTGGAAAGCCTCTGGGAATCAGCAGCTCCTGGGAATC